CAGTTATTTTATTTGGAGTCAAAACATTTTGGTTTGTGAACTTATTATTTAGGCAACTAATCTGCAACAATAATCCATCGTGATCAGATATCTGGGTATTCACTCCAGTAACATTTATCTTATAATCTAAAACATTTGTCAATACATTATCTAGAGCTGATTCTGACATATATGTAACACGAGTAGGAAAGTTTACAAGATATCTCATGCTATATACCTGTAGTACGTCATTAAGCATTTTCCTGTAAGTAGTGTCCAATACATTAATATTTATGTCTCCAACAATTACAATATTTTTAAAATGTTTCAACAATAAATTTAATAAAGAGTCAAGCTTCTCTAAAAAGAGATTAATTTTTACAGAAGGGGATCGATATATTGCTACTAGTAAAAGCTTTAAACTATTATGCTTGTACTCTGTAATACAACACTCAAATTCTTTTTCACATATTATGTTGGTATTTTCCAAAATATTTATTTTTCTATGTTTTACATTTCCATTGATTTTACCAAGGATCAAGACACCACCACCACCAGATCTACTTCTTGCAAAAGATGAGTGAATACAATAGTTATTTAAATTAAATCTCGAAAGTTCTAAATCTGTCATTTTATGCTCATTAATTAATATTAAATCGGGATTTAATTCTTCAACTGTTATCTGTAAAGAATCTATTCTAGATGGCAGGTGTTGTATATTTAAATGAAATATATCCAATTTAAAACTTTTGTTGGTTAAATTTAAGTGATTTCTTTTGGCATCTTTAATAAGTTTTTTGAAGGCGGGTTGTCTGTTACAGTTGGTGGTGTACAAGATATAACATTGCTTACTTTATCCTTAGCTTCTAGATTACAATTGATATTAATATTTCGGGTTTGAGGAGGGAGTTGAAGTGTACATAGGGCAGAGAGGCTATGCATTACGCCGGCACCAGATACCGCACTGACACTAGCACACCCACTGACAGCCAACCCCCCATCACTTGACACAGTTGAAGGTGAAATTCTCAAACTGGACTGGGAGGTATCATCTTCCTCTTGTAGTTGGCTGTAGACATTAACATCTTTGTGAACTGCTGTTGTAGTTCTGGTTGCATCAGTGTGTTGTTGGATGTTATGGATACCAGTACTAGAAGTTTTGACAGCGATAGCTTCTCTGAGACTTGTGATAAACGCAGCATGCGAAAGGCCATTTCTAATGTTGGTGTTGGTTCTTTCATCTGAAGTTATGATGATAACTGATGCATTAGTTGACCTTTGAAATTTCACTATATTTTTTGCAAAGTGTGCAAGCGTGACATGATCTCTGGAGCATCCCATAGGAGAACAAATTAGGGTTTTCAAATTTTGTTTATTAAATTCTTCTATTAGTTGATCAAAAGCATTGTTGTAAAATATGTACTTGTTATGTCTTGGTTTTTGGTAGTACCTTGATTTAGTGACCAAGCCAAAAACTGATGGCCCATTGTTAACTTTCTGCTGTGTTAAATTAGAGTTACAGTAGTCCGAATCACATGGTTTACCAAAACACTCTTTAAAAGCTACAGCTACTCCTGCACTCATGTTTTTTTCATGAGTGAAATCAGCTGAAATACAATGAGCGAAAGCAACATCTACATTACATTTTTGTTCTTGAATAACAACTTTCATGTCAGCCTCAATTACAGTAATTCCAGGGTTGTCTTGATTTGTAGCTGTAACTGTTACTGTTTGATTTTGTAGGAGTGCTGTGGCTGTACCAGAGTTCAGGCCATGTGTACTCGTGAGAACAGTAGGCCTAGCATTTTTTCGGTTGCTGTACCACTTTTTTAAACAGTCAATTATAATATGTGCTAATTTAGTTTTGCCTTTGTTATTGAGGTGCAGTCCATGGGATGTGTAGTGATATCTTTTGAGTTCACTTAAATTGATTAGATGCACATTGTCACTTCTAGCTGTTAATTCATGGAGATAGTTGTTTACCATCTCTATATTTAAATTTTCAAAGTGATTCATGGGTTTGTCATGTCTTGTTGGTACAGTACATAAGAATACTGGTCTGGATTTGCTAATTTGGGTAAGTTTGTGTTCTAGATGTACATATATATCAGATAGGTTTCCATTCAGACTGTCATTGGTGCCTCCAAGTATGACTAAAGGGTAATTCTTGTTGTTATCTATGGATGCTGAGTCCACAACCTGCAGTAGAGTGGTATTGGCTCGTACATAGCCAAACGTGTTTATTTTGCCCAAGCTGTAGGTTTCAATCTTGTTGGCTACATTTCTACCTTGACTGTCCGAGCAGAATGTTAGATTAATATCAGGACATGTAGTTGTAGTTCCTTGGCTAGTTCTTCTTGTTCTTCTTTTAGGCCTAGTGTTATCAATCTGAAGTGCTGTAGGCTTTGTCATGGAGTCTTCCGGTGTCATGAGTTCTCTATCGGGTCTATTTGCCTTGGTAATATCCTGGTTACTCTGTTTGTCAAGAACAGAAAACTTATTTGTTGTTACTATTTCAGGTTCTTTTGTCAATGCCTTTTTAGTTTTAATATGATTTCTTTTAGCTCTAGGTTGTATTTGGGTCCAGGATTGTGAATTAGGTGTAGCTGAAGTTTTCTCTGTATTACACAACCTTTTATTTTCCTTGACTTTACCTCCTTTTTTAATCAACAAATTGTAAAACAATCCGTTGTTTAATGCTGTGGAATCATGCAGAAGATATGCAAGTATTGAGCGTTTTAAAATCACGTCTTCATTGGTGAGTTTACAATTCTGGAGATACTGCACATTTAATGACCCAGTAGTGATAATGTCATCTACCAAAGACTCTACGACCCAGCAGGAGATCACACCACAGTCATAGCTGTTCGACTGCTGTGGGCCATTCAATGACAGAAATTCAGCCATACACGTTTTTTCACCAAAATAATCTGAGAGCTTTTGAGCAACCTTCTTTGCAGCAGACAAATTGGCATTGTTCAAGGAGTCAAAATAATAGAATTTATTGTTCTTCCTGTCAAATGACAATACACTCCAGTGGGAACCGCTAATTCCACTGCTAAGATCTTCAGAGTCATTTATTAATGTTAAAATAATATGTTTGTTTTTAATTTCCAATGGATCTAGAAATTGGTGAACATCCATTGAGTTTTTCACTGCATGGACAATTAGTGGGTTTATAATAACACACGATGTCTTAGTTAATAACTTGTTATTTAACATATCAAGATATGGTTGGATAGTTATATCAGTTAACCAATTTGTGCCTAATAATTCAGTGGCAATCATTGACTTACTCATTGTGTTTGATTTAGTCTGTGTCCCAGTGGATGTTGTGGGTTTGGTTTCTTTGTCTGTTTGCATTTGCTTAATATTACCTTCCAGCCCAGTAATTAAATTGTCTTTGATTTTAATCTGATTATTTAATTGAGAAATCCTAGTCTCAAGATCATCGATTTCCTTCCTATATTTAGAGCACAATTCCTCAGACTCCTCCTCAGCTAACCTCAGGGATTTTTCCATCTTACTTTTCTCAAACATGAGTTGATAGTTAATCTCATTCAATTCTAATAAACTAGTTTCATGCTCAGGTTCATTATGTGTTTCTGGATCATAAATAAACTCCTCAGCTGTTATTTTAAATGAATCAGCTTCATCTATAGCTTGTCTCAATTTACTAGTCACTCTCTTTGTAGGTAAAACATCTTCTACATACATAGAAAAATCAAACATATCCATCCTCTTGCAGGTGCCAGTCTGCCCCGTGCCAAAAAATGTTACATGATATTTATCTTTGTCTACCTTGGTTACAAGAGCAGGCCATGGCTGATGTCCTTTAATTTTTGCAAAAATCTTGTCATTAATTGAAAACATTATTTACAAATAGCCGAGAATAATTACAAATATTGTAATTATTGTAGAGTAAAATGGATTTAGTTAAAAATAAACATAAACAAACTTCAGCATAATATGAATCCTTGAACTGAGTTATAAGAGATAAGATAAGGACCCCCAGCAGAGTCCAGTCAATCTGACCCTCCTTATCTGATCTGATAACAGACCCTTCTCTGCACTGTTATTTGAAATATTTTCAGGATTTTTAATTACATTTTCTTACCTAGCTGTTTAATTCTTTTCCACTTTGATAAATAAAAGTCAAGATAACATTCACTAGTTGAAAGTAAACAAATTACAGTAAAAATTATGTATAAAATTGCAGTATTTACTCATAAAATTAGCAAAAAATCAGGAGCACAAACTACACTAGACTTGCCTTGCTGCTCTCTCAAGCCACTCTCCTAGCTATTTGATGCCACAAATTTTGACAAAAGGCTATACCTATTTACAGTGTTGACCAAACAGTTGGCAAGAAGCATTAATAGATAAGCTATGTACCAAATATGATAATTTTAGCTCTATTCTAATTATGACAAAACACGAAGTAACTAAAAGCGAGTTTTTTTGGTGTAGTAAGCGTTGCAGGAGGTCTACTTTACACTGAATCGACGTTCACTTTTATTGCTTTTGATCTTCCGGCACTGTTGACTCAGCGAAACTGAACTTGTATTTTACCGTATTTCGTTATATTAAAACTGCTGTTGCATTAGGTCAAATTCCCAATAAGTCAATTGCTTTAACATAGACCACGTTTTTAGCTCGGACTGTATTATTTGACTTACTGGGACTTTTGATCTACAGACACTGCAAACATTGTAGTTTTTGACCTAGCGGCACAGGTATAAATTATTTGATCTTCCGGGACTGTTGACTTCCAGCAACATTCCCATACTGTCTACTAAATCACAAGGTTCAAAAAATATAAAAACTCGGTTACATGACAAAAAAAGTACTCACCAAATAAATTAATCTAGGCCTACAAATTTATGCTAGCTACAATTAAATCCAAATCTCAGTAGTAGTTATGTAGTTGGTACTGATTTTATCTTGATGAAATTTTCTAGGTTCTCAATTAATTGTACTTAGTTAAAAACATCACCATAGAGATGATCTGTATGACTTACCAGTTCTCCGAATGCCGGGGACGGGCCAAAGGATATGACACTGTTGTCTGCTGCCATGACTACAGCAGTGATGCCACACCCGACAGACCTCACGTTCCAACCGTATAGATCCTGCATGGGCTTCGGATACATGTTAGCCTCTCCGGTTTTCTTGGACTGTCCGAACAGGTAGGCCACCTCTGCAGACAAAAACACACTTGAGAAATGGACAGATTTGAGTCTAAAATCATTTATTAAACATTCATTACATGCTATCATTTGTACAATCCAATAACCAGCAGGGTTGTTCTCAAATTCAAAGCAAATATAGTGTCTCATTAAAATAACAACAATTTATAAATAAAATTTTTGCAAAAAAAAATTTATAATAATGCCAGTTATTATAATTAACATGGTAAGTGGAACAAAACAATTATAAAATAAAAATAAATATGTTTTAAAAAATCATGTGTGCCTTATTTTTCCCTTCGCTCACTGTCTCCTGTCTCAGGGTTCTAAGTTCAAAGTTAAAAATTTCCATGAAAATGATGCCAAAAAATAATAAAGGAACATTCAATATATTGATGAAAGAATGCCATTTGTTAATCAATTGAAGCAGGGGCGGCTCCAGGATAGATTCTCGGGGGGGGCCATCCAGTGGCTATGGCTTCTCCGGGGGGCCTGGGGGGTATGGAATACCCCCCAGCAAAAGGGGGGGGTCCTCCCCCGGGAAAATTTTGAAAAATATGTGTTCAATATTGCTGTTTTAAGCCATCTAAAAGTGCTGGCCGTAACTTCATAAAATTTTGAAGTTAAATATTTTAAAGTTTTGACTATTTGAATTTGAATTTGAATTTGAAATTCAGTTTACTCCAACGTTTTTTAGTTGTAAGTACAGAAAATGATTTTTTGATCACAGGAAATGAAGTACGGTACACTCCTTTAAAATAGTATATGTTTAATGTTTTTTTTAATCCACAAATAAAAAAAAAACGATATTACTAAAAATCAAAAACATCTTAAAATGTGTTTTCTTTTAAATAATATATTACTAAGATGCAAGAGGCAATAAAACATAAATTCGTGCTGACATTTAGCTGAAAAAGCAGTGTTACAGAGAAACCCCTTATTAATTATTGTACTAAGCTTATGGGTAGATAGATAGGCCTATCTCTAAGACACAAGCAAATTTTATTCATAATATATGAAATGGTGTACAACAAACTGTTGTCATTCAAAAGAGACTACTGTAGGTACAGTTACTAACCACAAAAAAACTAACCCTAGCCTATTTACATTTAAGTTTTAATGACACAAGAAAATTACATTATAATAAACTGGTAAACAACAAACTGTAATAATATAAACGAAACTTCAAACCAGTTAACCACTAAAACAAAATAACCCTAACCTAAGTAAATTTTAGTTTTAAAGACACAAGAAAATTAAATTAACAAGTTATAAAATGGTTTACTATAAACTGTGGTTATTGAAAATAAATTACAGCTAACCACTAAAACAAACCAAGCCTAACCTAAGTACTTTTGAGTATGAGTTTAAAAGATACAATAAAATTAGATTCATAATTAATAAACTGGTTAACAACAAACATAAGTTATTATACGCGACACGACAACACAATGAACTTCATTCTCACATCACACATGATGATACAAGTCGGCCTAGGACGCCTAGGTGCTTCTTCAAATTCAGTATCGTACGTAACATCGAAATCGACCAAGGAAACGCCTTTTTGTAACAGAGGGCGATGAAGACTCCATAACAAAATACAAACATGTAACCTTATAAAACAAAATCCAACCTTCGAATGCCTGAGTTTGCAAATCTGTCTATTACTTTGTTAACATCCACTTTAATATCCCTGTGGGTGGGTGTGAAGCAAACATAGGCCACTTAATCTTTCTTCTCCCATCGTTGATCTTAACCATGTCTTTAACCGTCGCAATGTAGAAAATGATCTTTCTGCAGACGCAACACTTACCGGCAAAGTACAAAGTATTTTTAGCAAATCATAAATGGTAGGGAAAATGTCTGTGTCGCAAGCTTCTAGAGCGTCTAGAGCAGTTTTCGGTAGATCAACTCCTGATGCTTTTTCTCTAAGCCATTTCGCGTGCCATAAATCAAACTCCCCTTCGATAAGATTACTTTTTTGTTTTTGCCCAAGTATTGGTGATAGTTTTTCAGTTAGTATGAGTAAATTTGCCTTATCTTGTGTTGGTGGAGAGTTAGTTTGTGGCTCAAGTTCAATGTATTTTACAATCTTTGACGGAATGAGTATACTAAGACCAAAACATTCTAGAGAGTAGAGTGTCTTTGGAAAATCTTGATTTAAGATCAATGATGATGTTATCTAGTAGAGGGATGAATATTGATTTCTTGAATTAGTCCTCAGGCTCAGTAGTCATATAATTGGTTCGATTTCTTTGAATGCCAGCTATTCTTGGCAATTTTAGCTCGATGTCCAAAACTGAGCACAACCCTTTTACCCCACTAAAAATCTTTGGGAACACAATGTCACACTCTCTTCTCTTCGTTTCCAAAACTGAAATAGTATCATGGATTGCATCAGATGCTTTTTTCAAATCTAATGATGGTGCTTGAAGCATTCTACTTAAGGGGAGCGTTTGTTTCAATACGTCTATCAGAGAAAGTAAAGATGTTATAAACTGAACATCACATAGAGATTTCATTAGGGCATTAGCTTTTGACGAACTGTTTATGTCTGTCCACTCAGAAATAGATTCTAGAGCTTTAACTGTATATGGTAGAGCTTCACAGAACTTTATCACACTATCATGTCTTTCCACCCATCGGGTTTCACAGAGACTAGATAATTTAGTCCCTTTGTTTTCTCCTAACTCCTCATTCCTTTCCTCAAGTACACTCTGGAGAACTGTACTTCTTTTTGCAGAAGCTGAAAAAAACTCAACAACAGTTTTTATTGTGCCTATAAGATTTCGTATGCATTGCACATTATTAGATCTCGATAAGGAGTTATTCAAAGCGTGATTCAAACACGGACATCTAACCGCATAAACTGCTTCCTTTAAAATTTCCGAGACTGCGCCTTTTACATCGGAAGACATGACGCTGCAACTGTCAGTGCCAACCCCAACACAATTCTTTATATCTAAGTCTAGGTCTTTTACAAGTCTTACAACTATCTTCCCTAACATTTCACCACTAAGCTTGGGCTCAGCACTTTTGTCCTCCGTGAGTTCAATCAGTTTTTCGTGTGCATCAATAAAACAGAAAAAATCTTCTCTGACTTGTCCATTGAAAAGGTATCTCATTGTTAGGGACAGTTGCGATGTGTGTGATAAATCGGTGGTTTCATCGAATATAAATACTGTAGAATCTAGCTTCTTTTACTCGGTTTATCAACACATTCTTTATTTCCTCTCCACAACATTCAATAAGTTGGTTTTGGGTGTTTTTCCCTATATACGTTGCCCTGGAGCTTGCATTGTCCAAATGCTTCTTCAAAACGCAATCTCCTGACGCCACCTTGAATCTCAGGAGCTCTCTAAAGTTACCTTCGTTTGCGACTATGGATTTGTTGTCATCTAACAGTTGACCGTCGTCGCGATGACCACGCAACGGTATGTTTTGCCGACCTAAAAACAGAATAGTTTCGACAATTGGACGCAGTCTCTCTCGGTTTTCCGTCACTTGTTGCAGGCGTTGTGTATTGACTTTATTAATAACTGTATGTTTAGGTGACAGATACGCTTTAACAAATTTTTTACCAGCATCAACGCTATGTTGGTGGTAAATATTTTTTTCATGAGTTTCTAAAAACCCGTCTTTTCCCAAGAGTTTTGCAAAGCAGGTCACAGGTTTTGACACAAAGGATTGGAGGTGGACACCTTTGTTATGGCCACTGTATTCTTGAGAGAATAGGACGCAATATTTGCAATAAAGTCCTTTTTGTGCATCTGATAAAACTAACCAGTGTTTACTTTGTAGATGTTGCTTTCCTAAGTACCGCTTTACTTCCTTCCCAGCTTTATGGTGGAGCGAAAATGGAAATACATAATCTTCTGGTGGTTGCCAATGATTCTGTAACAGGCCAAACTTTGTAAATTTATCTATTGGCTTCCCAATATAGTTTCCAATATCAAATGTTTTTATTGGTTCATTCGAAGCGGCAATAGTTGAAATCTCTGAACCGTCTGAAGAAGGCAAAGGTAGTTCTGGAAGCATGTCAGCCACTTCAGGAGCTTCAGAGTAATTTGACGAGTCATTGTTTGCGGGTTGTAGTTGTAATGGTATTTCCGAATTTTCAGAGAGTATGGGTATATTAGGACCTGAAGACGTACTAGGCTGTGGTTCTGATAAGTCGATCTCGAGATTCTTTCTTGGTGGTATTGGATTTTTTTGATTTTCAGGTGGTGTACCAGAAGGACTTGAAGACGTGCCAGGCTGTGGCTCTGATAAGTTGATCTCAAGATTCTTTCTTGGCAATTTCCCAAAATAAGATTCAATTGGGTTGGATAATTTTCTTTTTGTGGATTTCCCAGGTATACTCTGAAAACATCAGAGTGTTCAATGAATTTGGAAAGTAATAAAAATATTCCTGCTATTTTTTTCAGCAAGAATAAAAAAAATATTTAAGTTAAGTTTAGATTTGATAACAATGTAGTTTTTAATATCTGTAAGCCTAATAAACGGAAGTCGGAAAATAAACGGTATCAGCAATCTGGCACATACTTTCTCCCACTAGCTTGTCATCAACCATTATCATGGGTAAGCGGTAGGGGTAATATTTTAAATATTTTGCAAGAAAAATCACAAAAGGTGCAATAATTTTTGAACCGCAACTTAAACAGTAATGGGGGGGATTGCACTGCTGGACTAGCCTATTTTGTTTGGATTATAAGGACCATATCAATATCTTACTTATTTTAATCAAAACCAAATATTTTCGAAAATCTGATTTGTTACGACCTTGAAGGGGTTGTGCTACCGAAATCAAACTTAAATTACCGTTTCGTTTTAAGTATTTTATACGATACATTCGGTCATTATAAAATGTCCATAATATCACGTTGAGTGCTGAAAACCAATGGCAGCGAGCCCCGGCGCGCCAGTGAATCAGCGAACGCAATTGGCTTCGAGCGGTGGTGATGGTGCTGCGTTACCCCTTGAGTGGACGTAGTTCACTGAAACACCCACA